ACCGAACTGTGCTTTCAGATGAGTCAGGTCCCACTGGGACAGATTACTCTGATCCTGATGCACACTATCCCTGCACTTTCGACGAACACATTTCCTGGACTAATCTGCTTCTTTGCATATTTTTTCTTATCAATCCAAGATAAATTATTAACAGAAATGTTTAACTTCTTCTGTGCATTTGTTTTCCTGCCAGGAATGCTACTGTTACACAGAGTATTTTTCAATAGGTCATCATGCTGAGGAAGGTCAATCAATTCCATAAATGTAACTAAACCCATTGAATCCATTTCGTCTCACCCTGGAGCTTCTTGAGCACAGCGACCTCCATCTTGAGCACTTGTTTGGGCTGCTGGGCTGACTCCACCTTTAGTGCCACACTGACCCGCGTCAGCAGGTCCAACGCCTCGTAGATCTCCCCAAATCCACCACCCCCAATTTTCTTCACCTAGAGGAAGATGACACTGCTGAGGAACTTCATATGAAAGAACTACTACATTTACCAAATACAGGAATAGTACACAGGGAGATTAATGTAAAATGTGTAAAGAATAACAATAGGAAATTCTTTGCTCCTTCCCCTCGGAGGAAAGGGGTCAAGGTCGGGAACAAATTAGCCCAGATGACGCTGGTGGGGATTCAAAGTGTCTCATTCAAAGGCTCTTCCACAATGAAGCCTGAACTGTCCAAGAGGGTCCAACTCACTGATGTATACACAATAGACATGGCGTCACCATGTCCCTCCACTATGGAAAAATGGAACCAAAATACTTTGAGTACAGCAGCTGTCATCTTTATCACAACCAGATTCTGCTCAGTAGTGACCAGAAGTGGAGTGACAGCATCAGACCGCCAATCAAAGCTGTCAAATCAACTGAACACACCTCCTTTTATATTATTAAATAACTTAGTAAAATGAAATTATATCAATTATTTGATTTGTACTTTGAGTTCTTATAATGGATCATGTCCCATCCACGATCATGGAGGAGGAGGGATTTATGACCTATACTGCAACCAGCCACCGGGGGCAATAGAGCCACAGTGGCTTCACTTCCGATAGCTGTTAATTAGCCTGTCCATTGTTTTTACAGTTGGTGGTCCAAATGTAGGCCTCACATCTCCAATTGAACCTGAAGCAGACATGAATATCTGTATCAAATCTGGAGTGTATATAAAAAGGGAAATGTTCATCACAATTTTCTATATAATAATTAGTTAAATAAATGGTCAAAGTGGTTCCTCATCATTCTTCTGTTGAGTGACTACTCAACTGATTGTTCCAAAGAGAATAAATGTGACTGGGTAATTAGCTCACCTGTAAATAGTTTCTGTACTTAGTCATAATAGTATATGCACTGATAAAGGCCCAAGGCTGGCCCAAATATTTGATTTACTTCATTCTTTCATATTACCCCCTGCTCACTCATGGCTCAGTACTACTAGAACTTTAATCTCCCCTTTGCCCCCGTGTGTTCTTCACTGTCCTCCATCCACACACGCTCATTCTTGTGTCCTAACAACATGGGGTTAACTGCAGCATTCTTATATAACTCAGCTCCTTAGACGACTGCAAGTGGTGCCAGTTAGGAGTAACAGCCTCACATGGCACCTGAGGAGGCACAGCAGTCAGAGACATAGGCCCTTGGGTAACCCTGCTGCTGCTGCCTATAGCTCACTGCACTACCACAAATAGCTATTCAAACTATTTTTGGATCTCCCACACTGCAGCAGCACTACCTGGACAGACAGATAGACAGACATGACCCCAAACCTTCCAAACCATAGGTGATATCTTTTTAAACAAAGGACAAGGACTTGTAGGCTGGGGAAACACTGTTTGATGAACAAAGACTTCTTGTTTGTAAGACAGAGGGTGAGCTTGTGTCAGGCAGTGACAACACTGAACAAACACGTTGCCTATTGTCGCTGAAAAAACATGTCACTTACCACTTTCCATCGTTCCTTGACCAGGGAGAGCACGCTTAAAATGTCAGCTTGCTCCACTCCCCCGCTCATCCCGTCTGTGGACCAGGGACACTATCCTCACTGCTTCCCCGTCGACCAGCAACCTCAGACAGGGCCGGGCATTTTTGCCTTGATGGAGAACCCTATAGAAGTGCAAGAGAGAACAAAAAAAAAAAAACAGAAACCGATGAAGGAGATCAGTTGAATTCTGATTATTTAGGATAATCTGCACAAAAAAAAACGGCACCTTTAGATAATGTTCTTGGGTGATGAACGGGGAGGTTTCATAGTCTCCAATATGTTAAAAGTCTTTTCTTTTTTTTTATGCCTCTGCTGGAACTGCAGGGGAAAGTTTGAAAGCGTCCCCAGTTGGGAGACTGGGTTAAAGCCCTGGCTCAATGGCTGAAACTTTCTGACACTTGACCACCACTGCAGCTGCCACACCTGCTGCCAGCAGCTATCTTTCTAAACAAACTCACCAGAGCAACTTGTAGGAAAAAAATCCTGCAACTTGAATTATAAAAACGCTTCATGTTAGAGTCATTTCCCCAGTCATTTGCTGTCTGTGTGTGACAGCCAGCAAGCAGCTCTTGTAAATTAGGTACTAAAAGTCTCATTACATATAATGACACCGTTTAATCTGCCAGATTCTGCATTTAGATGATTCACTAGTCAGCTCTGGTTGGCAGAGAGTATCATAGGTTTTGTGTAAATACACTGACTGTTCGTTGCATCCTGTGTAAATATTTATTTTTAATTCAATTGAAATATGCATCAGAGTAACTCATACCATCACAATATATATCTTTTAAGTAAGGCTACATTATGACAGATTTCTATGTAACCCCAAATATTCACAGATGTTTTTAGTCAGTCACACTAATGATCTGACACTAGCTCCAAACCACCCACCGTATAAATTCATGGACCACCTCCATAAGCACAAGCTCACTCTCTACAAAAAAGTTAAATTTGAGTTTCCCCTGGAAAAGCTGTGTCTACATCTATGTCGTATTATCTAACATCCAAGTATTCCCCAGGACAGCACCCACTGGAAACTTCCTTTAGTCTGGCTTCAAAGACTCAAAGCAAACCTGACAACTCTGACTTTGACTCATTCTGCACATGGCAGGCAAGCATCTGCTGTTATATAACAAGCCTTCAAAACATTATTTGGTTTCAGGGGATGAGCCCGACATCAAGGAGGCAATCAATCTGGTTGGGAGATGAGAGCAAAGCACAGTAAGACAACACCGACACTACGAATAAGAAATGTGACCCAGGGTTCAGACTCAGGAGTGAGGTGGCCTTGGTGCAGCTGCACACATGTGACACAACTGGATGAGATGTTTCAGTATAATAAGTCTCTTCTCAAGACACACTCTTACTGTAACCATCTTTTATCCCTCAACAGTCCGAGTGAAGAGAGCTAATGAGCTACTCTCTGCCAGTCAGCCCAGAGACTACATATACAGCCATACCACATCTCCATCACAAGCTCATACATTGCATAAGTGAACACACACCTATGCACGAGCAAGGGCGCCTCATACTGTGACTAATCTCACACCTCACAGAGAGGCACGGCTCTGCTCCTCCTCCTCCTTACACATCACCAAATAACCCAGAAGGAGCTGACTTTGGACCAAACAATTTTACCAATCTATGACAGCCAGCTCCAGTCTCATCATGAATCATGTTTTCCTGACCCCAGCGTCTCCATAGCGATGATGGTCCAATGCCATTTTTGTTTGCCGACTGTGGCTTGTCATCACCTCTGCCCTTCTGGTGTTGCTGGAAGCGACAACTAAATTCTGGATGTTTTTTTTTAATAGTAAATCCATTTAATAATAGTAAATACTGGCAAAAAGCAAACACAGCCCACATGCATGTGCAGTAACACATTGCTCAAGTGAAAAGAACTGTAATGACATTCAAACATCTTAATTTTCTGATTAATGCGCGTGTGGCCAGGTTTAGTACTAGTCAGGCTGCTGCTGGCCTGACAGCTGGAGAGGAGCCAGCATGTGGAGGCCCTCCACACTCTAGTTCTGTTCAAGTCATAGCATGGATGCAACTAATCCAAGTAGAAAACAGAAAGGATGAGACCTGAAAGCAAGTGTTTATATGGCAGACAGGCTCAAATGAAGCTTTTACTCTCAAGGTAATTACTTTCATAGCAGTACCTTAAATCCTTCATTTTGAGAACCATTTGTGAGAGTCAGAATTTAAAAAGACAAGCACAGATACCTCTGCCAGGCCAGGTTGTTACCAGTGGGATGTGACAGGTAGCAAGCTGCAGCAAAAATGAAACGTATCTATCCACCGCTTATCTTCTCTGCAGTGGAATGGCTGGCTTTGCTGTGGAGAACTGTTGCATAGCGAGTTGGTTGCCACAGCAGATTTACTCAGGCACGTCCGCGCACACCAGCAATCCACAGGCCACGCAAGCTCATCCTGCATGGCGTGGAGGAGGTTATACTGCAAGCTCTGACAGCATGCAGGACAACACACTCAGCGAATGCAGCTGCAGGCGACAAAGAACGGGTTGTTTAGGGTGGTGGAAATGGGCTAAACCGAAGGGGCGAAGCATGACACGGCCTCCGGATTCTCGAGCCTTACCTCGGGTCTTTGCTGCCAATCCTTGATCTAAAGAAGCGCCGGGTGTGGTTATAAAATATCCTTTACGTTTGGTGGCGTCGGGGACGACATGGAGCGGAATCCCATAGCTAGCGAACCGTTCATAGAAAGAGGCGCACGCGGGCACTGTCGGTGATGAGAAACAAACAAACGGAGGGGCAAAATGTCTGAGTGTGGTTGTTCCTTTTCTCCTTCTACCTGTCACCTCAGCATCTCTATCAGCCGCTGCGGATCCGTGACGACGTGACGATCGATCATCAGTCTTCCTGCGCGCGCGGCCCCGCTTCGATCGCCCCTCGCAACAGCTCGGGCGCGCGCGGCTGGGTCTTTTAAAGCTCGTTCTCAGCTTTGCCATGTTGCCATATGGGGCGATTTTCCGCCAAGTTGGCCTGCATTCATTTTAAAAGGGTGGGTACAGTGGTGGCATAAGTACTGCGATTGATAGATACTAGATTGTAAATACCTTCACTAAAAATGTACTACTTAAGTAAAAGTACAAAAGTATTAGTATTCAAATATTGGGTACGGTAAGTACCAGACGTAAACGGGTTCTATGCTAGGACTATGAGTACTCGTTAGTCAAATCTGGCAACACCGTGTACCAGTCGACGTTGACGCACACAATCACCAAATCAGTGTTAGCTTTTACAGCGCCAACGTTTTGTCGCATGTTATATTATATACACGTTGTGCAATAAAAACAACCCAATTGTTCCAAAAATCAAAGTAGGCGTAAAACCTAATTTGTTTAGTTTGGAACGCGGCCACAAAAATAAGAAGGAAAGAAAGAATACACTTTTCACAATGACCGCTGAGAGGCGACATTCGACCAAAATGGTGCAACTGATGCCACAAACAGCGATAAAAACAGCTATCTTCCATTTTGATAAGTCCACATTTTTGTTCCTTTTGCTATTGTTGCACCAACCACTAAAGAGGCATTTCACACGAGTTCAGTTTTCCAAGTCAGTCTTAAAACAGCAGACCAATGTTCATAAGTCGGCCTATATACGCTTAAAAAGTTATTTCTTTATGTGATCAGTCATCTTGTTAATACTGGCCATTATGCTTTCAGTGGAAGTGATGGCTATACAAATTGCAATCAAAAGTGCATCTTAAAAAATAAGTGGTTATGTCTTAGAGTAGAGGTCACAAAACTTTTCAGATCATGTACCACTGTGTACCAAGCCAAATTTCCCTACTACCTAATACCACTTCCCAACGCAGATACAAAGAAAGAGCCACCCCACCTACTACAACAACTGCTCAGGTTGGGATGAAGTAAATGGGTTTTTAAAATAAAATTTATTGATTTAACCATGCATCCATCCATACATCAATGTATCTCTATATCTATCATCATATCTATCATTTTATATGACAGCAATATAGATAGATAGATAGATAGATAGATAAAAATACTTTATTAATCCCAATCTGGGAAATTGCATTGTTTCAGCAGCGGTTCACACTCAATATCAAGCACACATACCAATAAATAGAATAGGTAACCCACTAAAATATAAAACAAATAAAAATACATTAAAAGTTAAAAACAAACCCAACACAATCAAGTACATATACATAATCACATGATGAATCAAACATATGCAAATCTATACAAAAGGTGATTCGGTATACAATTACTGTCAATCCAGGAATCATCTAATGCTCCAAGATGATGTATTGTACAAATTAATGGAATAAGGCAGGAAAGATTTCCTATAACGTGCTTTACAGCAACGAAGCTGTCTAAATCTTTTAGAGAAGGAGCTCTGCTGTCTATCAAGCACAAATCGGAGAGGATGGTCAGAATTATCCATAATTGATAACAGCTTATATATCTGAAAAACAAATCAAATTCAAATATGATTCCTTTCATTGTTCCCACCCTTTTCATCTAATATCTCATGTCTAATATTATCTAATAGTTTTTATCACAAAGCTGTCACCGAGCATACAATAACCTAAATTCCACTTGTAACCTAAATTCAGTTTAGGTTACAAGTGGAATGATAATAAAAGCATTCTGAACCTTCTGAATTAGAAAAGAAATGGCTCAGAAAGCTAGGTTGCCACCTTCCCGTTAGTCTCGAAATCTCTCGCGATAGCAGGTGCAGTAAGATTGCAGCTGTGCCCATGGTTGCGGTATTTGGAAAACGATGTCAGAGTGGGACCTCTTTTCATTGTTGCCAACTTGGCGACTCTCCAAATCCTCTTGGCGACTTTTTTTGTCAAAGGCGACTAGCGACAAATCTAGCGACTTTTTCTGGTGTTACTGGAGACTTTTCTGATGTTTTGGAGACTGAAGTGAAAGAACCTATCACTCTGCAATTACTGCCCACAACGAGCAGCGGGTGCTGCCGTGAGCCCCTCCCACGTCCCAAAGCACTCACAGGCGGTCAGTCTCACTGTAGCCTGGCGTAGCAGTGCCAGCTGCAGTCAGAGCAGAGAGGAGGTCCACACCGGTCCGCGTCCAGACTATCAATGAATCGCGCATGCGCAAAACGCCGCCGATCCCGCCCAGAGCGGGATGTAAATGTAAATGTTTCTTCACTGTCATACTAAAATAAATCACTGCATTTGACTCGCACAGTCTCAGTCACTTACTCTCCGCGGCCACTTTTTGTGTGCCTCTGTGGTATAAGCTAAACATCTAGCTAGCTTAGCTCATTATGTCTCAATCTAAACTGTACACTCAAAAGTACAGAAAGGAGTGGGAATCAAACCCTGAGTTCAAAGGCTGGTTGAAGCCATTTATAGATGATACACGGGCATACTGCCTGTATTGTAAGGCTGATTTCTATGCTAAATTTTGTGATATAAAAAACACATGACAACTCAAAAGCATACTCAAAAGGCAAAGCCTTATAACAGTTCCACCCAAAGCAAGCTGCCATTAATGAGTAAAAACATTGACCCTGCAAAAAAGGCTGAAGCCACCATGGCATTAGCTATGGCTGAACACTGTTCCATGCTGGCATGTGATCACATTGGGGAAGCATATAAAGCTGCTTTCTCAGACTCCACTGCTGCTGCTCACTTCAAAATGCACAGGACAAAGTGCATGGAAATGATTAATGGTGTTGTTAGGATTGGATTTCAGGAGT